ATTCTTCTCCTGTGCTTCTCCTAGACACAAAGCTATAGTGAATCCCATGGACATCCAGACATCCAGTGCTGTGTTCTGGACCTGTCTGAAGGCCATCACCATCTGGGTCCTTTCTGTGCTGCTGGCCATTCCGGAGGCGGTTTTCTCACAGGTGGTTCACATGCCAGACAAGAACATGACGTTCACCGCCTGTGTGCCTTACCCACTCAACAACGAGATGCATCCCAAAATTCACTCCATCATGATCTTCCTGGTCTACTTCCTGATCCCGCTGAGCATCATCTCGGTGTACTACTATCACATCGCCAGGACTCTGATAAAGAGTGCTCACGATATGCCTGGGGAGATTAGCGAGCACTCCAAAAGACAGGTAAGAGCTTGACTGATAGCCTTCTGGGTTTATCAGAACTGATTCTGCTTCTTTTAGCAGCCATGCGTTGAAGTTCCCTTTAAAAGCACATGCTACAATTGGCAGAAACACATTACAACATGATTCTTGTGTGGGAATCAGGGGAGCTAGTGCTTTTAATATGTAAAAAAAAGTTTTTTACATTCAATAACACTACAAATTGTCATTTAAAGAGCTTTTTTTTACCAGAAAGGTTTTATTACTGTAGTTCACAATGTATTAAAGATAAACGATAATTTATGATTCTCCTAAATAATTATATCTCCTATATAATTGGGGAAGTAAGTGATGAAGTCGCTGCCTAATTTGGATAAAGACCACAATTTTTCACGTAAAGTCACATTTGTTTATTTTACACACAAAGAAATGCCTATGTTGCATTTGTAGCTTAGCATTTTCCATTGACAAACTTCGTAAAACTATACCAAGATCAGCAAGAACATAGCAAACACTGTGCAAAAGTATTTGAACCCTAGGCTTTAGAAGGGGGTTACAAATTTACCGAGCAATGAAAATATCTTCAAGATGAAACATTGTCTCAAAAAATGGTATAACACCACTGAGAGCTCCCTAGCAACCAAACTCTTTACCTGAGCAACCACCTTTTCTGGAGTCTGTCTCAGCTTTGGTAAATGACAAATACATAGTGGTTGGTTTTTGTAACTTATACTAACAGAGAAAACATTATATTATGTCACTGACCCCTCCCTAGCAACCTGACTGTTTACCATAGCAACCATTTTGGCATATCACTATCTTAGCTAAGGAAAATCATTAAGTCATGGGGGTTGGTTTAAATTACTCATATTGGCATTGGTAGCTTTGCATGATATCAGTGACTCCCCCATAGCAAGGAAAATGTTACCTTGTCAACATTCCATTTTTAAACTCCATTTTCACAAGCCGACATCTAGTTATCAGTTATGCAAGTATTCTTATTTCTTCATTTACCAAACCATTTTCGGTAGAACTCTTACAATATCATGCATTTTTGCAACATAATTGTACACAGAATTGTGCAGAAACACAACAAAAATCTGATACTGTTATGACGTTACATGAAGAATTGTACATGGAAGTGCACAGAATCTGTTTAGCAATATTTATTATCGACAGTTTGCTTACTCATACATTGTGCTCTTTCTCTTACAATAAAATGTTGATTTTGTGTGTTTTTAGAACAATAATGCGATTTCTATGTAAATCTTGTAAATTGTAATGTACGTTTTGTGTGATAATTCCAATCATGTAACTTTCTGCAATGGCATCTGTGCATACCATCTTGTTCCTCTTATCTGCGAACACTGTTACGGGAGGAACTCATTTAATTTAAAATTCATGGCTCTGTTTTTTTTTGCCAGACCTGTCAACCTGGAATATACTGACATCAGATTTCCAGCAGCTCAGTCAGTAGAGCATGGCTCTAACGATGCTAAATGTTTAATGACTAAAGGAACCATTGTTAATTGAGTTCAGAAAGACACAGAAAAGACCACAACTCATCATTTAATGAACATTTGTAATCTGTAGTAACAGCTGGTTGGAATGCTATTGGGCATTATACTGTGATTTATAAAGGTTCTTTCTCAGAAGGCCAAACTATGAACACCAAAGAGAAAGTGTACTATATGAAACAATGAACTGAGGGACACCCTTCATAAAATGCCCTCTTGACAGTTTTTGGAGACAAGGTACTTTATCTTTCTCTGGACTGTGAATCATCTGTTATACATTGTGTCAAGGGTCCTTAAGGATGACAGATCCACTCGTTAATATTCTCTTTTAGCAGCTGTTTCAAGGCAGAGTACATTCTCTGCTGGTTCTTGCCCTTGATAACACACTATATCATCCAGGCTGAAGTTAAAAGCCATTGTTATCTCCCATGGTTATGAGTAATTAAAGGTTTCATGAGATAAGTAGCAAAGGTTTGTTCACCAATTGATCACCCTGACAGGTCAAAAAAAAGACAATTGGTGTAAAATAGCTTGCATTACGTTATTAATGGGATTCTTTCAAAAAATAAAAATTATGTATAAAGAGTTAAAGAGTAATTAGAATGGAAACTAGATGGCTAAAGTTTGTTCACAAAGTTTGATGTTGGCTTGTCCTAGTGCAGTTTAAAATTAAGTAAATTATTTTTATTAGATGAGATAAAGAGATTCAAATTAGTTTCTATAGTAGACATTCAGGTTGCTAGGGAGGGGTCAGTGACCTTCCTCGTGTCAATGGGAGTAAAACGAACCAACCCCAAAGTCTCTATGACTTTACCAAGCTGAGATATGCCAAATTGGTTACTAAGGTAAACAGTCTAGTTGCTATGCAGATCAGTGAAATAATATAACATTCTCAATGTCAATTTGGGTAAAATTAACCAAACCCCACACCTTCATGAGTTTCCCAAGCTGAGATAGAGATATGTCAAATTGGTTGCTATGGTAAACAGTATGGTTGCTATGCGAATCAGTGAAATAAAATAAACATTCTCAATGTCAATTTGGGTAAAATAAACCAAACCCCACACCTTTATGAGTTTCCCAAGCTGAGATAGAGATATGTCAAATTGGTTGCTATGGTAAACAGTATGGTTGCTATGCGAATCAGTGAAATAAAATAAACATTCTCAATGTCAATTTGTTTAAAATAAACCAACCCCCACACCTTTATGAGTTTCCCAAGCTGAGATAGAGATATGTCAAATTGGTTGCTATGGTAAACAGTATGGTTGCTATGCGAATCAGTGAAATAAAATAAACATTCTCAATGTCAATTTGGGTAAAATGAACCAACCCCCACACCTTTATGAGTTTCCCATGCTGAGATAGAGATATGCCTAATTGGTTGCTATGGTAAACAGTCTGGTTGCTATGGGGATCAGTGAAATAAAATAAACATTCCCAATGTCAATTTGTTTAAAATAAACCAACCCCCACACCTTTATGAGTTTCCCAAGCTGAGATAGAGATATGTCAAATTGGTTGCTATGGTAAACAGTCTGGTTGCTATGGGGATCAGTGAAATAAAATAAACAATCTCAATGTCAATTTTGGTAAAATGAACCAACCCCCACACCTTTATGAGTTTCCCAAGCTGAAATAGAGATATGTCAAATTGGTTGCTATGGTAAACAGTCTGGTTGCTATGGGGATCAGTGAAATAAAATAAACATTCTCAATGTCAATTTGTTTAAAATAAACCAACCCCCACACCTTTATGAGTTTCCCAAGCTGAGATAGAGATATGCCTAATTGGCTGCTATGGTAAACAGTCTGGTTGCTATGGAGGGTACCTTTATTAACCATTGTTATGATAAAATTCATCAAACTACACCACATAAAGTGTTGCAGAACACCTGGAAAAAAAGAAAGTCAATTTCAGCAAAGTGGCAATCAATAACAGGTTCAGGATCAGGCGAGAGGAAGCTGTCCACAGCGGGCATGCATCGATATTGACATTTCCTCAGCTAGAAAGCCTCTCATGCTCTATCAAGTGTTCTTAGCTGTCAAATTCTCTGCTTCGCTTCTGAGGCGGAAACCAGGAAGTGTCTACCCAAGAATCCAGATCCGCCCGGTCTTCAGGCACCTCTTCACTCTCAGATTTATTGAGACATTTAAAAACATTTCACAGGTCTCATACCAAACAAGCCACATCCAAATTAATTGGTTTTTATGATTTGTCTTTACTAGCTATAAACTCAATTTAATTAGTGAAAGAAAATAAATGTGATTAGTGAAAGCTAATTAAAATATTTAGTCTTTATGAGGAAGTCTCTCCCTGTGGCGGGAGTGTCCAAACTGTTGCAAAAAGGGCCAGATTGAATGAGGTGAAAATGTGTGGGAACAGGCCACTCCGTAAAGCGTTCATTTAAACACAAAATAATAATAATAATATATTATATGTAAACCCCAAAAAGTGGATGACAAAATAAAAATAAATGTTTTTTTTTTACATTTTTATTAAACAAAAGAATTGTTTAATGAAATCAGAAACAATTCCATACAAAAGATTATGTATTGTTTTCTTTTTAGTCAATAATAAAGCAAAATCCATTTAAAAAGTGTCCAAAGTGACAATATCATTAATGATGTCCCGAGTCAGTTTTTTTTTTAAACTATTTGCATTGTCAAAATAAGTTCTGGCGCCCTACGGATATCTATGTAGCCGTATGTTTATATGTATAATTAGCAACAGTCAACATATTTTTTTTAATTTCAACATATTTTTTCGATATACAAACGGTAGCAATTATTTTTGACGTGACTTTAGTCATAAATGAAGTTCAAATGCTGCTCTTTGATAACTGAGAAGAAATTAATTGATAGCTTGTTTGTAGAAGTGTTCCTTTTCTTTGTTCAGTTTTAAAAGACTCTCTGTCTCAATATAGATCCCTGCCAGTGAAGAAACCCCATACGATTTATTCTATTATTCTTTATCTGGGGTTAACCACCACCTCTTGGGATAACCAGCACCCCCTAGCATTGGAACTGCGTGCCTCACCTTTAGTGAGGCCTTACTGCGTACTTAACCGTTTACATTTATGCATTTAGCAGATGCTTTTATCCAAAGCAATTACATTTCAAAGAATAAATACATGTGCTTTCCCTAGGGTCTGAACCAACAACCTTTGTGTTGCTAGCATAACGCTCTACTGACTGAGCCACAGGAAAACGTATATTTTTATACGTTTATATTAAAACAACAACATTTTTTCATCATATACACTCATATAGTGCAAGGGGATGAATATTTTAATACAAACATATAAAAAGCAACACCACACGTCTCCTCTTAGAAATTGAATGGAAAATAACTGTAAAGAACACACTGCAGAATAATTATAATCAATAAATAGATTTTTTTATATATAGTGCTAGATGAGGCCTCCTTTGACTGGAAGTCACTGCCCAAGAGTTAATCTGTATTAGTTATGATGCTATTAATCTGAAAAAGCTACATAACTATACATATCAGTGGGTGAACCTGATCATTTTAGGGGGAGAGTTATATCAAGGGGTTTCCATCAGACCACCTGCTGCCAGCCGACAGAAGAAGCGTCACTGCTCCTTTCATGCGCATCGAGAGTGAGCGTTCTCATTCCTGATGCTTTGGGTTTTTCATTTAAAAGCTGACAACAAAGTGACATTGTTATAAAGTGTATATCATCAAAGTTTGCTCGTCATTTCTAAACCTTTGGAAAAAATTGTGTTTCCTTTTTCTCTCCCGAGACTGAAACCAGGAAGCGTCTAGCCAAGATCGTTCTGGTTTTCGTTGGCCTGTTTGCTCTCTGCTGGTTCCCCAACCATGTTCTCTACATGTACCGCTCCTTCAACTACCGCCAGATCGACTCTTCGCTGTCCCACCTCATCATCACCTTGGTGGCTCGAGTGTTAACCTTCTCCAGTTCCTGTGTGAACCCCTTTGCTCTGTATTTACTGAGCGAGAGCTTCCGACGGCATTTCAACAACCAGCTCTTGTGCAGACAACCAAGGTACCAGGAACGCAACACCAGCTTTCTGCAGAGCACCTCGGCCATCCGCATGACCTCCATCCGCAAGAGCACGCCGAGCATCACCAATGGGACGGTATTAAAACCAGGAGTTTGCATTTAGCACCTGCTCCTCGAAATGAGTTGGGATACAAGCTTGACGTTTTCTAAGGGATGGTGACCCCAGTTGGGGAATGGGTGGTTAGTGACTGTTGTAAATATTGCATGTGCGTTCCAGGTTCTGCTAACAGTCGCTTGAGCTGAAGAATGAATCTAAATTTATTGTAACGTTATCTTTATTTCAAATGGGAAGAAATGGATTTGACTTGTCTGGTTTCTCCAGCAGCCAAACCCAATTATTAGACTGTTCCTGCTTTTCAGCTTCAATTTCACCCAGGAAAACGTTCAAAAACAGATAGAAAGTGCACTTAATAGTAAATGAATGTTGGAGCTTTGATTTCACAAATGTATTACAGTGGTACCATTGAAATTATTTACATTGTATTGTATTTTGTAATCTATTTACAATATATTCCATTAAGCATCTCTTTCCTGAGAACGATAATGTCTATGATGATAGCAGACAGGTCGCCCACTCAAGGGTAAAGCGTGGTGATTAGATTAATATATTCATAAATGGATTAGGATTCAACATGAATATCAATTTCTCAAGCACGTTCCCCTTTACCTTCTGATGTACAAGACTGATCTGAGCACCAAAATCATTGTGGAGGGCTAATATCAATAATGCATGCTGTGAGAAACACCATCAAGTATTATGCTCCTCAATGTAAAACATCATTCTTTTGTCCTCTTCTGAACGTCTTGCTAATGGGTGTGGAATATTCGCTTTAAAATACTACAATATGTACAAGTTTCAACGGAAACCTGAAGATAAACATAAAAAAAGAGAGACTCTAACCCTTAGAAGTCTGGTGCTTTTTTGAGCATTTTTTTACTACCTTACAACTGGCTCCAATTTATTACCATTAGCAATATTTTACCGTAACAGTTTTTTAACAAATACTTTTTCAAGAAATTATACAATAATTCCACAACAAACGCAACGCACTTCAGTCATTTTTTACTGCAATAAACACAAAAAATGTACAGTTTTTATGTTTTAAACGGTTTTTATGTTTTATAATATAAAAAAGCATATTTTTAGTGCCAGAACTTAAAAAAAAACACATGCCATATCACAGCTCTTCTACTTCCAAGGGTTATTCCTTCTTTTCACCACTAGATGGTACTTATTGCATTGATTTGGTGTCTGTAAAGTGAAACTGAAAGACGATTGACCTTTTTCTCACATTTTTATTTGAATTACCTTTTTGAAACCTACACATTGTATTTGACATCAAAATTCAATTATTGGTGGCTTTCATCATTTCTGCCTAATTCAAAACAGCCGTTGTGATTGGCTCGCGCAGTGGTGTGTGCAGAGACTCTTAAGGGTTAAGTCGCCTTTCCTTCAAAATTCCTTCGAAGTTCATTTGTGAGATCAGTATATGGTGTTGGAACAAAACTGGAAACTGATCTTGGTTGTCATGATCAACACCTGAAAAACACCACAACACCATAATCCCCCCCTCTCTTCCGCCAAACTTCACAGTTGGCACAATGCAGCTCCCACACACTGTTCTAGAACTAATCTAAATGTAATATGACCACAGAAAGCTAGCGACCTGTGTGTTCTCTCCCATTTCCAATTGCGCAACTTTTTTAGAAAAGTTGGAAAGAGAGGATATTTCACAACACAACTTGTTGCAGAGGTGAAAACTTATCACAGTACAACGATGGAGCTCCCGAGAGAGGTCTATTCATTCACAAATACAGTCTGCTGATCAGTGTATAATTTTTTGGCCGTGACAAATTTACAGACGTTGTGTGTGTCTATATTTTTTTTGTCAAAAGGTATTTTATTTTATGTAATGTCCTAAAAACAGAGACAGTTATCAACTTTCTTATGGGTAGGGACCAAGAATGCATTTGTTGTCTTGCAATTGGCGCTAAAGAAGTTACAATACATAGCTTGTCGCATGGTGCAAGCTGTTTTTTTTTTATAGATTTTAACATCACCTGCATCAAATGCATATTGAAAATCGTATATATTTGACAACTTTAATTCTGAATACTTGCACTTCAACACATGACCCTTTTTTAATCACAACATAATCGTAATTTCTAAAACTGGGCCATGTCATATTTCCACGAGTGTAATTGTCTTCTCAGACAATGGAATTTAATTAAATTCAATGTATAATTAGAGATGAGCAATTACAATAATTTATCTTTGTGAAGACATCTCCTCTGCTTAACACTTGAACCGTACCAATTCAAATCTGTGGAAACCACACTACTACGTTTAAAAAATAATTCTTATTTGAAAGCATTCATTTAATACCGTTTAAGAGGGGTTTTTTGTGGCTAAACGATAAGAAACAATAAATCCCCGTCTGTTTGACTTATTTTAGCATTGGTGTTAAAATAATACTTAAAAAACTGGGATTACCCTAAAAATCAGTGCTGTACCAACCGAGCCACAGGAAACCTATATCATTTACATAAGAATGAAAAAAATGGACCATTAAAGATGGAGAGATGAGTCTTTTCTCTGCAAGAATCGAATGTTTCGGCTCCAATGGCCAAGCGGAGTTCATTTACAGCTTAGGGCCCTTTGCTGATCCTCTTTCCCTGTCCTCCGCCCAGCTATTTCCTGTTACATCTACTGTCCCTGTTCATAAAACAAAAGCACTAAAAGCAAAATACAGAAATTTAGCAAAAAAATTATTAGAGCTGTTGTGCAGAGGCAGGAAGTAGGATTAGTTTAGCTAGATTGATGAAACACACACACTAACCACTTCCTTCCTACTTTCAAAGCCATCAAATTATTTCCACAAAGCCACTTTACAAAGAGTCCTTTAAAAGGTTAGTTAATTATATTTCATCCCCTATTTAGAGCATTTGATACCACCCATCCACTAGGGGGCAAACTTAATGTTTGCATTAAGTCATAATTTTTGGTGATGGAGGAAGCTAATTTTATTCCTCGAGTAAAATGTGAGTACAGGACAAGTGTTTCCTTGTAAATATTACCCAACACAAGAGACAAGGTAAAGAAGTTTCAGAAGTGACTAGAATCACAATCTTGTCAAAAAGCAACACTTCATCTCCTAGACGGTAGCCCCAAAATACAAATTGTGACAATTGTGTATTGCGATATATTGGGCCGCGATATATTAATACACCCCTATTAGCAACAATATCCAAAATAAAAGATATATTTGATTCAAAAACAGTTTAAAGGTGGCGCACGTTGTTTCTTGCAGCTAGTAGCAACTTCAGAATAATAAAAACCTCTCGGTTGACATACTGGAGCATTAATACATACAGCAATTGAACAATACTTCGAATATTAACAAAGATAACAGATACAAATGGTAAATAACAGAAACGTTTAACATTTTCGGAGTGAATTAATATCACTAAATAGTAGGGGTGTAACGGTACGCTAAAATCGTATTCGGTTCGGTACAGTGTCTTGGACAGTTCGGTTCGGTTCATTCGGTTCGGTTAAAAAAATAAGAACTTAAATAATCTTTATTTTGAAAAGCTGCCAATACACAATAGAATTCTTGCATAAAATAAATAAAAGTGACACATTTGGGTGATATTTTAAATAAATTGCACTCTTTATAAAGAAAAACACGTTTTTTTTAATAAAAAATGAAATACTGCAACTAGTTAGGACCTGAAAACTTTTAACACTAGCAACAGCTTCATCTTGTATATAAACAAAACTAACTATTCAAGTTTTAGGCTAAAAAGATTAACCTATCCACATTTTCTGAAGAGAGCACAGATCTGGTTGCAGTGACAATATCTCCAGCAGTAAAAATGTTAGATGTGTTGCCTGCCACAAACCCGATCTCCGTGGAACAATGGCGGCATACAACTTTAAATTTATCCACTCGTCTATCTCCGTTATGTATTTTAACAGAGAAGCCAAAGGCGAGTTTCCGCACGGACGCTATTGAGTGTCGCACAGTAGAGCTGCACGTCACTCAATAGCGTCCGTGCGGAAACTTGCCTAGGAAAATGGTTCCGCTGCGCTTAATATCGCGCTAATAATACATTTATATTATTTAATACAAATACCGAATACCGAAACGGTACGCAAG